ACTGTTTTTAAATTTGCAGTAGGGAAAAAAGAAGAAAACTGGATAGGATTAGAATAGAAACCACGAGTCTCTTTGGTTTAGAAGTTCGTCGCCTGAGATTTTTTTCTTTTCAAACTTACCTGATATGTCTGTCATCATTGACTAGGTTAGGTGTGAAACGCCCGTGCTGATAAATTGCTCTGGATATAATAACGTGAATATGAATTGTTCAAGTAAGGGAATGTATTTCATTTACGGCGGTTGTGGTAAATGGGGACGTATACCGTAAGTAAAAATTCTGGCTTGTGCTGAAGGATTTCCAAATTACATCAGAAACAATTGTAGCAGTCTTTGGTCTGTGTAACTCCAGTTCATTCCTGTATTAGCGGTAGCGAGCCAGGGCAGTGTGGACTATATGAATGTGTTAGATGAGCTGCGTATGTCACAATAGCACAATCGGGCCACAATTGTGTCCTCTTATTATACTTTCGTCCACAATCTCTCTCTCTGAAGGACGTTGTTACGGCAGTATCATAAAACATACCCTTAATATTCATTTACTTATTATTATAAATGAATGATTTTCATGATATTCCAATCTTTACAGCCTGTTCACTCCATTGAAATTGTGTCACCCGACTCCACTTTTTCTACCGAGCAGCCGGTCTATCCAGCCGCCTGTATGGCCTCGTAAACGACAAATGTATTCTACTTATATAGCTCTGCTTAACACACAATATAATCATCATGGGTTATGATTTTACATCCATGAATCTCAGGAATGGCGAAATAATATATTGACCTGTGACACACTATCTATGATGTTTTCACTGATATTTGACCAGTCAGAGAAGAGAGCACATGTTATCAGTCATACGCCAACCATTCCGGATTACAGCGATGTTTTATGTTTAAATTATAATTTTAAGTCATTTTGGAGGATGTTGATGTTGAATCATACAATAAAAAGTCATTGACTTCCAGACTTACACCCCAGACCAAAGATACAGTGCATAAAAATTTCCAAAGTTACATGTATATCTGGGATGGGATTTCCGCATGTTGAACGCATATTGGCATGTATGTGTCTGAAAATGATAAATAAAATAAAGATAGACGTCAACGCCGCCGTCACACCTGTGCCAACAGTGTATAAACATCCTGGTTACAACATCCAGGCTACCGACGACATAAAGGATATGCTAATTATATCATTGTTGGTGAGTTGTGTCATTTGTCCTCTTTAAGCGGTCTGTTGCATACCCAGTGAAACCTTGAGAAAAAAAAACCTAATCAGAAATAAACTTTTTTAAAGAAAAGTTGTACTGGATTCCTTTGTGAGTCTCTTGGATATACTTTCGGTCAGTATGTTTACAATGCACTGGTATATTTATTTACTTCATCTAATGGTAATTGCATAATGTCTCTCTAAGATTCATGATGTTTTTACAGAAACTGGTCTTAATGATTTTTTTCACTATCCAAGTAATTATGATAAAAATTTATTGTACCTCTAGTATATCAAAAACTAATGGATATTAAACAACAAGCTAATGTATATTGTCAGAGATTAACGACTGGAGAAAGTGCTGGCTCTATAGACACTTTATTGACCGTGTTACTATTCAAACTTATCTTACAAAACCAATCCCGCTCCAATTTAAGAAAATGATTAGTAAAATAAGATTTTCATCCCATAAACTTGCAATTGAAACGGGCAGATACAGTAAAACCCCTATTTCACAAAGAAAATGTTCCTATTGCAATGATGTGGAGGACGAATTCCACTTTATACTGGGTTGCTCTAGATATTAAGATTTAAGAAAAAGGTTCATCAAACCTTTCTACTGCAATAGACCTTCGGTGTTCAAATTGGTTCTCCTGCTGAATTCTTCCAGTAAGAAAGTATTATGTAACCTGGCACGATATCTTAGCCAAGCAGGAAGGCTTCGGCATGAGATCTAATCTAATTTGATCTAATTTGATCCAATTTGATCTCATTTGATTCAATTTGATTTAATTTGATTTATTTAAGTAGTTTATTTATTTAAGTACTCATGTATTTAATTTACTACAGGTACTATTATTATTGTTATGATGATTATGATTACGATTATTACTATTATAATTATTCTTTGCAATAACCCTATAGTTGTTGTAACTATAGTCGTTGTAACATTTGTACCAGTACTAGACTGATGGTCCTCAAGAGACCAAGGTAATAAATAAATGAAATGAAATGTCATACATGTATCACCATTCATAGTTGATGTTCTAAATACAAGTCAAACATTACTAGGTACATCAATAATCCATTACTTGATTAGAAATGTAGATTCTATTAGACTACCTTGTTTACCATCCTAGAAACAATTAAGGGAAGGGTTTATTTGCATTCAAACATCAAAGCAGATATAATGTTACACCATTGCCCGGAAGAGAGTGCTTCACAGGTACATAGTGTACCCTGCGAGGCAAGGTGAGTGCTCAGCACTTTGCTTTTCAACTTTCGGTGCCATGTGTTTTCATTAACCTGTTTTAGGTCGCTCAGTGTTCCGATAAGCCACGTAAACAGATGTATTCAAGTCTACTGGGTTATAATTATTTTGGTTGCAGGCCCGTAGCCGGATATTTCAAAAGGGGGTTCTTTTTCTAAAAACGTGGACCCTTTACATGTGCCATGAAACCCTTGTGTGCCTATATCAAATTTTACCCAAAGGGAACCTTTTTCCGGCAAAAGAGGGGTTCATTCTACCCCC